ATTACAACTGATACCACAGAAATACAAAGGAGTGTAAGAAATTACTATGAAGAACTGTATGCCAAGAAATTTGAAAACCTAGGTGAAATGGACAAAATTCTAGAAAAATATAATGTTCCAAAACTGAATGAAGAAGGAGCAGAAAGCCTGAACAGACCAATAAGAGCTGATTAAATTGAAACAATAATCAAAAAGCTCCCGACACACAAAAGCCCTGGACCAGATGGTTTCAAAGGAGAATTTTACAAAACATTTAAGGGAGAGCTAACCCCCATCTTCCAAAGATTATTCCAAAAACATCAAGAACATGGAAGACTCCCAAACTCTTTTTTGAAGCCAGCATCATCCTAACCCCAAAACCAGATAAAGACATAACAAAGAAATAAAACTTTAGGTCAAAATTGCTGATGAACATAGATGCTAAAATCCCCAACAAAATGTTGGCAAACCACATCCAGCAATATATTAAAAAGATCATACACCACGATCAAGTGGGATTCATCCCAGGGATGCAAGGATGGTACAATACTCGCAAATCAATAAATATAATACATGACATAAAAAAGACAAAAATCACATGATCATATCAATAGATGTGGAAAAGGCATTTGATAAGGTACAGCACCCATTTATGATAAAAGAAAAACACTGAGCAAAGTGGAAATAGAGGGAGCATTCCTCAACATAGTAAAGGCCATATATGAGAGACCTACAGCCAATATCATATTCAATGGGCAAAAACTTGGAGCTTTCCCACTAATATCAGGAACAAGAAAAGCATGTCCGCTTTTACCACTCCTATTCAACATATACTGGAAGTCCTAGCCACAACAATCAGAGAAGAAAAACAAATAAAAGGCATCCAGATTGGAAAGGAAGAAGTAAAACTGTCACTGTTTGCAGATGACATGATAATGTACATAGAAAATCCTGTAGACTCCACCAAAAAAACTACTTGACTTAATAAGTGAATTTGGCAAAAGAGCAGGATACAAAGTCAATTCTGAGAAACCAAAGGCATTTTTGTATACCAACAATGAAATATCAGAAACAGAAATCAGGAAAAAAATCCCATTTGATATACCAACAAGAAAAATAAAGTACCTAGGAATAAATCTAACCAAGGAGGTAAAAGACCTGAAACTCAGAAAAACTATACAACTCTGAAGACAGAAATTAAGGAAGACGCAAACAAATGGAAGCATGTACCATGCTCATGAATTGGAAGAATTAACATCATCAAAATGGCCATACTACCCAAAGTGATTTATAGATCCAATGCCATCCCTATTAAAGTACCAATGACATATTTCACAGGTACAGAACAAACATTCAGAAATTTATATGAACCACAAATAGCTGCTGCAATTTTGAGAAAGAAGAAACAAAGCAGGAGGGATCACAATACCTGATATCAAACTGTATTACAAGGCCACTGTAATCAAAACAGCCTGGTACTGGCATAAATACAGACACATAGACCAATGGAACAGAATAGAGAGCCCAGAAATAAACCCAAGTCTCTACAGTCAATTAATATTTGACAGAGGGGGAAGAAGCATAAATTGGAGTAAAAATAGCCTCTTCAACAAATGGTGTTGGGAGACCTAGACAGCTACATGCAAAAAAAAAAAAAATGAAACTTGATTACCAACTTATACCATACACAAAAATAAATTCAAGGTGGATGAAAGACTTAAATATAAGTCATGACACCATAAAAGTCCTAAAGGAGAACACAGGCAGGAAATTCTCAGAAATTCCATGCAGCAACATCTTCACTGATATGTTCCCTAAAGCAAGGGACATAAAGGAAAGAATAAACAAATGGGACCTCACCATTTCTTCTGCATGGCTAAAGAAAACAGCATTAAAATGAAAAGAGAACCAACTATATGGGAAAACATAATTGCCAATGATACCTTGGACAAGGGTTTGATCTCCAAAATATATAAAGAACTCACACAACTCCACTCCAGGAAGACAAAAAACCCAATTAAAAAATGGGCAAAAGACCTGAACAGACATTTCTCCAAGGAGAACAAACAGAGGGCCCAGAGATATATGAAAAGATATTCAGCATCACTAGCCATCAGAGAGATGCAAATTAAAACCGCAATGAGATACCACCTCTCACCATTGAGAATGTCCATCATAAACAAAGCAACAAACAAATGTTGGAGAGAATGAAGAGAAAAGGGAATGCTAGTGCACTGTTGGTGGGAATGCAGACTGGTACAGCCACTGTGGAAAACAGTATGGAATTTCCTTAGAAAACTAAAAATGGAACTGCCTTTTGACCCAGCAATTCCACTGCTGGGATTAAACCCTAAGAGCCCTGAAACACCAATCCAAAAGAACCTCTACACCCCAATGTTCACAGCAGCACAATTTACAATAGCCAAGTGCTGGAAGCAACCTAAGTGCCCATCAGTAAACAGGTGGATCAAAAAACTATGGTACATTTACACAATAGAATTCTATGCAGCAGAGAGAAAGGAGCTCCTACCCTTTGGGACAGCATGGATGGAACTGGAGAGCATTATGCTAAGTGAAATAAGCCAGGTGGTGAGGGTCAAATACCATATGATCTCATCTTTAACTGGAACATAATCAATAAAAGAGAAAGGCAAACAAAATATAACCAGAGATATTGAAATTAAAAACATTCTAACAATAAAAAAAAGGAGAAAACTGTATATGAACAATGATTAATAAAAAAAAAGACTAAAAAAAAAAACCATTCTAACAATAGCCAGAGGGGAGTGAGGAGGAGACAGTGGGTAGAAGCATTTTCAGGAACTACTACAGAGGTCACATGGACAAAACCAAGGGAGAGGGTGGAAGCAAGGGAGGGAGGTGGGTTTGGCTGGGGTAGGGGGGCAGTGGTGGGGATAAAATGCAGACAACTGTAATTGAAGAACAATAAAGTAATTAAAAAATAAAAAGAAACAGGTGTTTGTACAATGGAAGTGGCTGGTATTAACAGTTTAAAGAGGACCCAGCCACTGGTATTGGAGGGGCTGGAGACAGTGAGGGAAGAGCCTAGGTCCTGACACGCAAGCCAGGTAGTGCCATGGATTCAGAAGAGTCCAGAGGCTCTCAGGCTAGTGGCCTGGCAGAGCTGAGGAGTCAGGGCCTTCTCAGTTGGTCAAAGACTACCCTGAGCTTCTATTCCTGGTCCTTCCTTACACCACTGGTGCCTGTCCTATTCTCTCTACCTTTTCATTCTGTGAGGTTCTTTAACCTGAAAGATTCCCAGGGAAGTGCCATGGCAGGCAGGGCAATGGATTCCTTCCTCCACTGCCCTTGGATGAGCAGATTCCTCAGACAGGCACCAGGGCCACAGACACACAGCTAGACCACAAGCATGTTGAGTGCATGCCCCTTATCCTCTAGTGTCATTTTACCATCAAAGCAGTTCTTCAGTTTTCTAGCAATTATAATATCACATAGTTGTCTTGATATTTTGCCACAACATTAGTATTATTGATCAGGGGTGACAATCAAGATTATGCTAACATCTTTGTACACAGCTAGGCAAATGTCACAATTCAAACCACACAAAGAAGATGACTCCATTAAAAGGCACTCATTACAGCATTCTTCCCTTCCCACTCCCAACATGCTCAGAATGGTCCTGAGAAGACTTTATAAGCCCTGCACAAGACATGTCTCCAGCTACACACTTCTGCATGATAGCAGGAACAAGGTGTCACAGAGTATGAGAGCACCAGCTCACTTCATGGAACAGGTGGCAGATGTTTTTTAACTACCACAGTACCCTTTTTTAACCTGCTGTTTGTCCCATAGTGTGGCAGGAGGGGTCTGTGTCTGAGGCTTCATTTTTCCTCTTTGGAACTGCCTAGGACAGGAGAGGGAGGAGTGGTATGAAACAGCAATGTGATAAGCCCTGAGTCAACAAAGGGCACTGGATCAACCTCTCTTCACTGACTTGAGGCCTCTGTCTGACTGATAGCTGACATGTGAAAACTAAGGGCGAAAACCAAAAGAATCTGACTCAAAAAAGAAACCAATAACAGAAACCTAGAAGAAGGCACATGTGAGACAGAGGGACACAATACAGGATATTCTGGAGTTTGGCTGCTTAGTTGGCTTAAGTACTCACCAGTTAGCTGTGTGGTCATGAGGCAGTTGTATACCCCTCTGAGCTTGTTCCCCATCTAGACCATGAGGATCATGTAGCATCCATCCCCAGGCTTGTCATGAAGAGTCAGCAATGTAATGCACATGAAGTTTAGCAGCCTAACCTTAACCACACTGTAAGGTCTGGTACCTGCAAAGTAAATGCTCAGTGAAACTGTATGTGATTTTTAGAGGAATAAAGGAAAATAATCCTTAATCTCTAGATAGTTTGACTCTTCCATCTTGGTTATCAAATAATGACTCCTGAAGGATGGCCCATGTTAGCCTGTACAGGTATGACCTTGAAGACAGTCTGACCTTGATTTTACTGATTTTCTGGAAAGCTTAACTTTTAGTTCACAGTTAGTAAGCATCAGGGGAAGGCCAGAGCACAAGCCCTCTGACCCTCTGGTCAAGTCTGTTGCCTATAGCTTTGCTCTGCTTTCATCACAATCTCTGTCCTTGATGTGCTCAGTAGCCTCCCTTGAGCCAGTCCCCTGAGTCTGTTTCAGGAGCCTTGACTTCTCTTCTACATGCTGGCCAAGAAGTCCTAGCACCCAGTTGACTAAGCTCTAACACCTTGTTACTTTGACATGACCTCAATTCAGAACTGAATTTATCAAGTTTCTTCCAGCACAGGAGGCTTAATCAGCTCAGTGGCCCTGAACATCCAGCTCCTAGACACCTGCTGAATGGAGGTAGGATCTTAAGAGGAACAGAGGGTGTGGGCACCTCATCGTACATGCAATCTACCTCACTCTATACAGGAGAGGATGCTGTAAGGGAAAGGTCAAGGAGGGGCAGATCCTTGGCACCCTTAGGAGATACAGGCTGGAACAGTCAGAAGTGGAGTCATGGCTAAGCTGGTAAGGACATTGTCACAAAATCCAAAATGTTACTTGCTTCATCGAATGACCTTTATTCTTCTAATAGCTCTCATCATGGCCTTCTTTGGCTATGGTTACATGAACCCAAGAAAACAGAGGGTGGAAATCATCCAGGCTGGGGCCAGCATAACTATTAGAAAACGCCATGACGTGCAAGGTGTAGAATTACCAAAGATGGTGTTAGCCCAGCCAGATGTGCTAACACCCTCTAGGAAAGATGTCCCTGTCATGACCCCTTGGCTGGCTCCCATCATGTGGGAGGGGACTTTCAACATTGACATTCTGAATGAGCAGTTCCACCTCCAGAACACCACCATTGGATTGACTGTGTTTGCCATAAAATCATACCTTGTCTTCCTGAAGCTGTTTCTAGAGACTGCAGAGATGTACTTCATGGTGGGACACAGGGTAAACTACTACATATTCACTGACCGGCCAGATTATGTGCCTCATTTCCACCTCCAAAAAGGAAGGCAAATCATCATCCTCAAGGTCCGGGGCTATGCTCGCTGGCAGGACATCTCCATGCACCGCATGGAGATGATCAGCAATTTCTCCAAGCAGCGATTTCACCAGGAGGTAGATTACCTTGTGTGTGCAGATGTGGATCTGAAGTTCAGCGACCACGTGGGCGTGGAGATCCTGTCACCCTTGTTTGGCACCCTCCATCTTAACTTCTTTTTCCTCAGTCAGGAAAACTTCCCCTATGAACGCAGGCGTCATTCACAAGCCCATATTCCTGAAGGCGAGGGAGACTTTTATTACACAGGAGCCCTATTTGGGGGTTCGGTGATGGAAGTTTACAGACTCACCAAGACCTGCCACCAGGCGATGATGGTTGACCAAGCCAATCATATTGAAGCTGTGTGGCATGATGAGAGTCACCTGAACAAATACCTGCTTCACCACAAACCCTTCAAGGTCCTCTCCCCTGAGTATATGTGGAGTGAGTGGTTATACTACAACATGAAAAACTACATGGGAGATTTGCCCAGCTCTATAAAGAGGATTAGAGTGAATGTCTTGAAAAAGCATAAAAACTGGCCAAACTGATGGGCAAAAAGAATCCAGGAAGAACTCAGAGGGGAACCATGCTTAGTATAACTGAGTCTTCCTCCTGGTATGCTATCCTTCATTAAAACCATTTTTAGCAGAGAGGTATATATAACTTTGCTTCTTTTTTCTTGTCTGGTTGAGTCCTAGTGCCATCCCCTCTCCCAGCCTCCTACCGCCACACAAACACACACACATTCAGGCCGGTCTGATTCCTCGGTTCAGGCACAGATTCCCAGAGTTACCAACCACCCTTAGCTTCTCACTGTGTGCTCCTAACACCCTTCAGGATGGAGAGGTGGGTAGTCTCAGCCTATCCTGACAAACAAAGGATCAGAGATGAATCCTCTTCCTGAACTAGGAAGGAGGCCCCCAGACGCATGCGGTCCTGCCCATGTGACACAGGCACACAAGCACCTACCTGAGCCCTTGGCCAAGCAATTGCACAGAGGTCTTCAGCTTTAAGCCAAGTCATTTTCTCCTTTCAGAAGTTGAAAACAAGCTGTAAGGATTGAAAAGTCCTTTCAGTGTGCAGCCAGGCAGAAGACCAGGATGCCAAATCCAAGTCCTCTTTCTTGACATGTGGCTTTCTCACCCCAGAGCATTGTCATCTGTCTACCAGCACCAAAGCAGATCACCCCCACACTCCTCCTCACCCCTCCCGGCTTGCCTCCATCCTACCTTTATCAATTTATTAACTTGTAGGGATTTACCAGTTCCCTATAAACTGAAATATTTTCTAGATGATAATAAATTCCTAATGATTTCACTGCCCTTCAGCAAGGGCCTGAAATTCTGCGTTTTCTTGCCCTTGTTTTTTTCTCTCATATACAAGAGAGAGAAATCACCCATTACCAATCTTTACTTCTCATTTGTTGTTAGTAAATTTTCATAAATTTAGGGACCCTTTCCAGCTTTTGGACTCCAGTTCTAAGTTGTATGTTTTTCTGTGTCACTACTAAACATTTTTACATAATAGCAATTCAGGAAATTATCCCTGATGCAAATTAAATCTCCTTGGGGGCTAGCTGAGGCCTGTCACCAGCTGTGGGGGCAGAGAGGTCCTGCAGTCTTGTCTTTCCCACAGCCATGTCTTCCAGGTGTCCCAGAACTTATCCAGGGTGGCCTGTCAAACTTCCAACCTCTCTCTGCTACTAGAGGCCTCATGCCCATCCCTGACCCCTCAACTCAGCTGCAAAGGAACACAGCTTCTGTCTCTGTCATTTCTGGTTCCTTATGGTGGATTTTAAACAGGATATTTCCATGGTTATTTCAAGTGTTGCAATCTCCCATTGAAAATCCTCTTTTGCTATTTTTTTTATTGTTGTTCAATTATAGTTGTCCCTCTTTTTTCCCCATTGCTCTCCCATGCCCTGCCTAACCCCCATCCTCCCACCTTCATTTCCCCCACCCCCCACTCCCACAGTAAATCTCTACCACATTGTCCATACCCATGGGTCCTTTATACATGTTCCTTGGCTTGCTCCTTCCCCTTCTTTCCCCCATTATCCCCCTCCTCTCTCCCCCATCACTGTCAGTTTGTTCTTTATTTCCATGTCTCTGATTATATTTTGCCCACTTGCTTGTTTTGTTGATTAGGTCCCACTTATAGGTACGATCATGTGATATTTGTCTTTTATCACCTGGATTATTTCACTTAGCATAATGATCTCCAGTTCTGTTCATGCTGTCTCGAAGGGTAGGAGTTCCTTCTTTCTTTCTGCTGCATAGTATTCCATTGTGTAAATGTACCATAGTTTTTAAAATATGGGCTCTATCTGGAATGATCTGCCTTCACTGTTTCTCACATGGCCATTTTAACTTTTGCTGAAAGATGAGGTGGTAACAGCCATGTTCACAGCAATTTCCAGGGCTACCCCCACCACTAGGATCTCAGAAAGTTAGACAGGATAGTGAGTGACACAGCCATCCCACTCCTGAGACTGCATACTTCTCCCCCAACTCCTTCACAGTTTCTGACAGTTCAAAGACACAAAAATATTTTGCCTCTTTAATTTGCTTGTAAGGTACACATTTACTTTCCTTTTCACACTTTGTTTTCCCTTTTTTTTTTTAAAGCCCTCCCACCACAGAGCTATCACAGTGGCCTCCTAGCCCCTGGGGGTTAGGAAGTGTGAGCTTGCACATCTACTTATAACAGGCTCCAGGAGTGGACATTGCATGGGAGGGCCTGGGAGCCGAGGGTGCACAAGACTTTTCACATGCTGCTTGCCTATCTCCCACTGCCTTTTCACACTATTTTAAAAAATGATTTTATTTATTTATTTTTAGAGAGGGGATGGGAGGGAAAAAGAGAAGGAGAGAAACATCAATGTGTGGTTGCCCCTCACACGCCCCCTACTGGGGACCTGGCCCACAATCCAGGCATGTACTCTGACTGGGAATCGAACTGATGACTCTTTGATTCACAGGCTGGCACCCAATCCACTGAGCCACACAGGCCAGGGATCCTTTTTACACTTTTAAAACAGCTTTTTCTATACAATTCAAACCACATATCTATTTGAAAAATAGTTCAACCTAGAGGCCTAACCCTTGACCATCCACCTAAGAAAGAATTTTCAACTCCTTGCTGGCTATCTCCACCTGGAATGCTAGCTGACACCCTGAACTCATTATATCTAATACTTAATTACCAAGGGAACCAGCATCTTCTGATGTCTCTATTTGTTTTAATTGCATTGACATTTTCCTAGACCCTTAGTAGGAAAGCTGGCAGTCATCTTTTATTTGTCTCAGCCTAAGCAGTTTCCTGGTGTCCAGTCCTTTAAATTCTCTCTCCCTTCCCATTACCACTACTCTAGCTCCATAACTCACCAGCTAGTCATTTGCCTCTTCATGTGTCATCCTGCCTCAGCTTGCTCCTTCACTGCCATCATGTTTCACACACACACACACACACACACAAAGATGAGGTGGTTTGCTCATATGTATAATGGGCTTGTATTCAGATTAAATTAAACAACATATATGTCACCCCAGGTTTCAAAGACCTGGAAGTTAAATACGGATAGTGTCAAGAACCAGACAGCTTTTTGCTGGCTCTGGTCTTGGTCAGAGTTTCTGGGTTTCCATTCTCCAAAATGGCCACTCTAGTGATTAGGGATAAGGAGGCTCTGGAGATAACCTAAGCAGGCTTATCACAAGCCCAGTTAGTTTGCCAGTGGCATTTGCCATTTTCTGCACTCTCCCAAGGAGGCTTACCTTTCTGTGCAAAAACTCAGTTCCACCACTGCTCCTGGGTTCTGGCCCTGGGAGCAGGCCCCTCCCACAGTCTTGGTCCAGGAGGAAGGGTGTGAATAGATGAAGTTCACCCTGAGGGAATGCTGGTGCCAGGGAAAGCCCTCAGGCCTTCAATTCTTGCTGGCAGCTGTGCCACCTAAGACAAGCTACCTGATGCTTTGGAGCCTAATTCCAAAAACTTTAAACTGGGTAATTGTTCCTGCCAGTAGGATAGTTGTACAGCTAAAAGGCAGAGATTTGATTAGGTGATTTGTGAAGCTAAACAGCAAAGACTGGTTTAAGCTAACTGTAAGCAAAAATGGGACAACTAAGTTTTAGCTCCCTTTTCCTACCAATGAGAGCAGTGCTGGCTCCAGTGAGAATGGTCCACAAAAAAAGTATAAATGCCATTAATATCTATTTTTGTTCTCCATTAATATCTATTTTTCTTCCCCAGCCAGTGCAGTAAGGTCAAATACAGTGAGCTGGACTTGAGGTTTGGAGGTCAGAGGCTTGGGGTTTGAGTTCTGACCCTTCTCGGAACTTTTGGGCAATCGGGCATTATATTCCATTTGTTTGCTCATTCTTAACCTTGATTTTTACATCTATCAAATGCTCTCCTATTCTAAATTTTTAAATTAAATTTATTGGGGTGACTTTTAAAATAAGATCATACAGGTTTCAAGTGTACATTTCTATGATACTAGATCTGTATATTGCACTGTGTGCCCACTGCTTAAGTCAAACCATCTCCTGCCACTATATATTAGGTCCTCCTCTACACTATACCCTCCGACCCCCTTCCCTCTGTCAACCACCATATTGCTGTCTGTGTCCATGGGTTTCAGTTTTATATTCCACACAGGGTGAAATCATATGGTTCTTATCCTTTTTTAACTGACTTTTTTTCACTTAACATAATAATCATAATGTTGCAAATGGCAGTATTTTGTCTTTTCTTATAGGCTGAGTACATTCCATTGTGGATACAAGTATGTAAAAACTGACAGCTAACATCATAATCAATGGGCAAAACTAAAAACTATTTCCTTTAAGATCAGGAACAAGACAGGGATGTCAGCTTTCACCACTCTTATTCAATGTAGTACTGGAAGTTCATCCATGGTTATTGGATAAGATGAAATAAAAGGCATCCAAATTGGAGAGGAGGAAGTAAAACTGTCATAATTTGCAGATGACATAATATCATACATAGAAAACCCTATAGGCTCCACTGAAAAACTACTACACCTAATAAATGAATTTAGCAAAGTAGCAGAATACAAAATCAATACTCAGAAATTGATGGCATTTTTATCCACAAATAATGAACTTTCAGAAAAGGAAACTAAGAAAATAATCCCATTTACTATTGCAACAACAACAACAACAAATAAGATACCTAGGAAAAAATTTAACCAAGGAGGTTAAGGATCTGTACTTGGCCCTGGCTGGTGTGGCTCAGTGGATTGAGCACTGGCTGCAAATCAAAGGGTCACTAGTTTCATTCCTAGCCAGGGCACATGCCTGCATTGCAGGCCAGGTCTCTAGTAGGGGGCAACCACACATTGATGTTTCTCTCTCTCTCTCTCTCTCTGTCTCTCTCTCTCTCCCCCCCTCCCTCTAAAAAAACTAAAATAAATAAATAAAATATTTTTTAAAAGATTTTATTTATTTATTTTTAGGGAGGGAAGGGAGGGAGAAAGAGAGAGAGAGAGAGAAACATCAATGTGCGGTTGCTGGGGGTCATGGCCTGC